GGAATTTCTGGAGATCCACGTACAGCATAGTGACTATATTTAATAACAATGTATTATAAAATAGTTGAAAATTACTAAGAGTAGATTTTAAATTATGTTACCGCAAAAAAATTGTACATAAAGTGAGGGATATTTCATTAGATTTAAACATTCTAAAATGTATACATACATTGTTGAGTCAGAAAATTCATGATGTATTTTTCTGTGATTTTCTATGCAAAAAATGTGTCATGACTTTTCTGATAAACCAATAAAACATCATGTTGTATATCATAAATATATACAATTTTTATTTTTTAGTGTAAATTAAATTAAAATTAAATAAACATTTAACAAATTAAATCTAACAATATAGTAGGACAATTATTTAATTATTTATAGTAGGACAATTTCAAAACATGCTTGAATTTATTCCAGAAATTCAAGGGTTTAACATACAAAAATAAATTTATGTAATTAACAACATTAACAGAAGATGAACAAAAACAGTTATTTTAATAGCTATAAAATCTAACTTCTATTCATGATTAAAAATTCTCAGCAGCTTAGATATAGATGGGAAATTTGGGACCAGGATAAGGCATAGTGGTTACATCATTGAACTCCCACATGACTGACCATGGTTTGAGTCCTGTACCCAGTGTCTGCTCCTGTCTCTCCAGTGAGTGCAAAACACATGTGCCCTATAGCAAAAAATTTCTCTCTCTTAAAAAAAAAAAAAAAAGGAATGGCTGAGCCTGCCCCATAACCTGGTAGTCAAGGAAGACATATCCCACATTGCTGAGTGCAGTTTAAATCCCAACTGTAGTGAGGTGTGTGTGAGTGTGTGCATGCTCAACATCCTGACAAGATCTCTCTCTGGAGAGTAACATGTCTGCTGGCAATTAAAAAATAATGTTGAATGACCATTTTTTTCCACCTGTTGATAAACCTGCAAAAAAATAATTGTTCAGATGACTTTGAACAGAGCTTTTTCTTTATCTATAGTGTGAAAAATAATATATATTTTGTGCTGTACATCTCTCTTATAAAATGTTTGTTTCTAAAATTATTATTTTTATTTTGAAGTGTCAGAATTGTATTTAGCATTTTATAAGCATGAAGCCCATAAGAGAGAATTGCTACCCTACAGAGTTCACAAATCATGTTCATAGATAAAATTCATTTCAGAGAAATAAAGAACATACAAAAAAATTATAATCTTAATGCATATTTTAGCAATCTATCTCTAGACTTGCATCAAGATTCATCCAGTTTCACATTTTCTAGAATCTAGAGACTACTCTGTAATTAGTATACTTGTACTCTACACAATTCAAGTAAAATATATTGCTTTCTTGTCCTTACTCCAGCATTTTCGATTCAAAAAATCATCTAAGAATCATTCACTCAGCTATAGTTTTGCTATATTTGTTTTAATTCAGGGAGGGCCATGAAAAATCACATAACCTATATATAAAACAATAAACTTCCTGCAGTTCATTTTCTTTTTTTTTTTTTTTGGAGAGATTTTCACTATAGGGCGCGTGCGCTCGCCACACAGAGAGAGACATTAGAAACAGAAAATGAGAAATCACCCTCCAGGGGGGATGGTCACGCCGCAATCCCTTCTCCCGGCGTAAGTTTTAAGCCACTGGGTCCAGGACGCAAACCACGGTCGACTACGTGGGAGTCCAGCGACATAGCCATGACGCTAACTGCTGGTTCCCACTGCAGTTCATTTTCCAAGTTTAACTTGAAAGTTAACAGGTGAAACTTTATTATAGGCTTTTTAAAGGGACATGGAGAGACGCTCAGGAAAAAAACTTTCTTTTTCATAAGCATAGGTGCTCCACCTTGTTTGGCAGATACTCCTTATAAACGGGAAGGAATCCTTAGTTTATATAGAACACCCAATACTGAACTTTTCTTATTACAGTTTCTGTCTCAAAAGAACATCATTTCTCAAGACTTGAAATAGAAACTTTATTAGTCAATTGCTGAAACCTAACCAATGTTTTTCTATTTTAGATCAATGTTAACTACTACTGAGGACTGTATGACTAATAAACCTATGATAAATGTGCCAACCAATGTCACATCTAACCTCTGAGACTGTTTTAATTCTACCTTAAAGTGGGTACAATTAGTGTTTTTACAGACTTTTAATTTCATAATGGAATTGATGCTCTGAGTGATACATCACCTGCTATTCTCTCAGAGGATATACTTGTTTTCTCAATCAACTGCAATACTAGCCTTGTTCTCTATCTAAACAAATGTAAAAGGCATCCTCCTCATTTCAATTTTGTACAAATTATTATACAAAATATGAAATCACCAAGCTTCTATAATTTTGATCTATCATAATGCCAAAGGCCATTTTTAAAATACCCTGGATTTTGAATGACATTAAGAAATTTTTTTTTTTTAATCCTCAGGCAAAACAATGACATAGCAGTTATGTAAGAAAATAACCTTGTTTTGGGCTGGCAGGTGACATGGTGATTAAAAGATCTAGACTCTCACATGGCCAACCACAGTTCAAGTCCTGGACCTGATGCCAACTTTCTCACTTTCTCTCTCTTTCTGTCTAATCAAACTAGAAAATATTAATAAATAAATTTAAATCAAATAATTCTTAAAAAAAGAAAAAATAACCTTCTTTTTAGGCGATTATTTTGAAGTGTTTAAGTGTGAAGTGTCATAAGAACAAAAATGGAAAAGTGTTAACAATGAATCAAGGTGGTGAGCATATGAGTGTTTATTATACTATTATTTTTCTGTATATTTAAAGAATTTCATAATAAAACTTGGGGGCAGGGAAAATAAAACTCTCATACATAGTTTGTTATTGCTATATATTTTTAACAGATCCCTCAAAAAGATACTGAAAACATTTATATGTACTAGGTATTAAAATGAATTATTACTCTATGTAAATGTAAAGGATAGAGAATTCTGAGAATCACACAATCAAAAATATCTGGCTCACCCCATCCTCCAGGCACTCGGATTGCTTCACTGTGTATTTTGACCTCAGGATGGGAAAACTCACTGCCATCTGAAACAGTCCTTATATTTCTGGGTAGCCCTAGCACGAAGTTCTCCCAAATATTAATGTGTTTTCATGAAGTTTCTAATAGTTTGTTCTAAATGGGTAGATTTAAGACCAACTTTCACATAATCATCCTGCAGAATTTGAAAAAAATGCAATCCAGATTACAACTTTCAAATATTTTGACTGTTTATCACATGGCTGTTCTGATCCTTTCTTTTTTCATTTTTCTAGGTGGTGTTATTTTTTCCTCTCAACACACTCCAGTATACCCAAAGCTCATTATTATACTGCAAGTAGGTCTAAGCAAAGCAAGTGATGATATGACTGCCACATCTATAACTTAATATACATAAAATTAAGAGGTTTGCT